CAAATTATACGATACCCTCAAAGTACCGTACCTTATTTACTTAGATTGGAATATCAGCAAATGATTTGATAATGATTTGGACTAATCTATTCCAGTATGTATGCATAATATAATACCCTCACTAGTATGATACGTGTTTACCAGAGCTGATTTGTTGTAATGATTATAATAAATGTCTACATTTAGAACTTAACGGCGTTTAAAAATATAAATACCTAATAAGATTTAAACGTAGAAATATGGATATTTGGTGTAAATCGGCTCTTTGTATAATTTTGAGCAAAATATTATAGAAAAAATCTAAAACTAATTTAAACTCGTATTCATTACAAAAAATACTCAAAGTCTTCAAGTTAAAGAGAAGTCTCAACATAAAAATGTTACCTTTAGTTAATTTTATTTTGTTTCTTGTAATCGCTTTAATATCCTAAGTTACGTATAATATCTATTCAATAATAATATCGCTTTTAATTTCATACCCTACATTGTGTAATAATCAGCCAAGAGTTGTTGAATTGGCCGATGATCAAAGACTAATTTATTTTTTCATATGATTTTCCATTATTATATTTATTAATCCCATTGTTTTCGTTAGAATTTTAGCAATATCTGAAGTATTGTGGTGTGGAGTCTTGGCATGTTTTTAACTTGGTTGAATTTTTTTGATGTGGTCTGATTTGGCGTTGTCAAACTGGATCTGAACTGAACTATTCAATAACTGAACTGAGCTAGTTTGGTTTGGTTGATATCTAGTCTATGTGTATTTACAATTATCGAAATCTGGCCCGATCTTGTCAGATTTGTTCAGGTTTTATTTTATCTGGTATGAGGCTGAAACCAATGATAAGTTAAAAAGCCCTCTCGCAAAGCCATAAATTCGATATATCAAAAGCCTAAGAAAAGGTGTCTCTTTTCGAGATTCAAGACTTGGGGACGAATCAATTCACTACATATTCTGGGATTGCAAGCGCGTTAGGGACTACTAGATTCAACTCAATCTTTACACCATAAAAACTATTACCTCTGTACCAAATTAATTTGCAAAGTGAACTTTTTTGTCAAATAGTTTCAATTTATTCAATTAATCAGGATATCAATTTTAATTACTCCGAAAGCCATATTAGATTTGGATTTTGCAACGTTGTATAGTTTTAATGTAGTTTTCGAACATCTTTATGAAAAATTTAGTTCATCATATGTATATTCTAACTTTAACATTGATTGATTAAAAAAAATTGACTTTGCAAATTAATATGGAACAAAGAGAGAATAACAATTTAGGATGTTTTTACTTAGATTGTAATGTGCTGGTCTGGTCTGGTTTGTTTAAGTATGGTCTGATCTGTTTAAGTCTAGTTTGGTCTAGTTTGGTCTGATCTGTTAAGTCTGGTCTGGTCTGATCGGTTTAAGTCTGGTTTGGTCTGTTCTGAACTGGTGTCATAAACGTCTCGTCTATGTGTATTTTATAACCATGAAAGTCAAGTTTGGTCTGGTCTAGTATGTTTAAGTTTGATCTGGTCTTGTCTGGTCTGTTTAAGTATGGTCTGATCTGATCTGGTCTGTTTAAGTCTGGTCTGGTCTGGTTTGATCTGTTTAAGTCTAGTTTGGTCTAGTCTGTTAAGTTTGGTCTGGTCTGGTCTGTTTTAGTCTGGTTTGGTCTGGTCTGAACAGGTGTGATAATGTTTGATCTCCGTGTATTTTATAACCACGGAAGTCATGTTTGGTCTGGTCTCTAGTCTGTCTAAGTTTGATCTTGTCTCGTCTTGTCTGTTTAAGTATGGTCTGATCTTGTCTGATCTGATCTTATCAGTTTGAGTCTGGTCTGGTCTGGAATTGAAAATAGTCCAAATGAAAGCATCCTTAATAATTTAGATCATTAGTTGAAGCATAATTGAAAAGTGAAAGATGGCCAAAGCGCTAAACATGTACTCCCTCCGTCCCGGAATTATCTTCATTCTTTCCTTTTCGGTCTGTTCCAAATTTATCTCCTTATTCCTTTTTTGGTAAAGAATATGTGGTTCACAGCCATTCTTACACATTTCTCTCTCCTCTGCATAACTCTCCACCACACAAATCTCACTATCTTAAAACTCGTGCCCGGTCAAAACCGGAGTTAAATATGAGACGGAGGGAGTATCAATATTTACATATCAAATCTGGAACATGTGAAAGGCTCGAAATAATATGGTCTTTAACAACACACATCACTCGGCTCACATTATGAAAAGGTCGGCATGTTCTCAAGCTTTAGAGGTATAAGGTCCCAAGAAGTGTCAAATGGAGTCCACCATGCTAGGGGAATGGCTTTAACAGTGTGCTTTGAGCTAGAAACTCGTGTTGATTAAGGATAGTGGAAGTTGAAATGGACTTTGAAATGGTTATCTTAGAGCATCTTTAACCGTGTTTTCCACTCCCGAGAATGCAGTGCACGTTGAATAAATTGAGATAGTAAAAAAAAGTCTAAGAATGTGCATATTAAGAGCCCGTTTGGAGACCTCTTTTTTCGGCTTATCAGGCTTATCAGTCAGCTTTTTCACCAAACACGTAATTTTTACTTTCGTGTGCTGAATTGTGTAATAAGCATAAAAAGTAAGGTTGGAGTTACTTTTCTGGCTGTATTGGCTGAAGTTACTGCAGAGGACAATTTTAGCTATTTTTACATGTAATTTTTTCTTTAATTTATTAATAAAATATATTTTTATAATATTTTTTTCTTGAATCAGCAGAATCAGCCAAAACAGCCACTTCAGCCAGAACTTCATAAATTTCAGCAGAATCAGCCAAAACAGCCGATTTTCGTGCTACCAAACGGGCTCTAAAAGTGAGGCTGACTTAACATATTGAAATATGCACATCGTCGATTTGGATTTCCGATTTCAGAAAGCCTCTTAAAGACTATGACTCAGCAAACGAGTACGGAGTTATCTTTAATTCTATTTTATTTCAATTATTTTTTATTTTTCAGCAAATACAAGTAATTAAAACATACCCCGTATGTAGAAAAAGAGCACGGCCTGAAAACCCATGGTTGCATTGGAGAATGAGTGTCCATATTTGTCCAACTTAGTCCCATTTCATCGTTAACGACCTGTTTAAATAGTGATATGATCATATTTAAAGCTTTGTGATCCACATTTCTATGGAAAGATGCATGCGGATTGGAATTCTAATTTCCTTTGTTTTTGTTCTCTTTTATTTTCTTTCTCAATGAACCATACAAGAAAAGAAAACCCCAAGAAGAAAATAAGGAAAAAGAAAAAGAAATAAGCAAAAAGAAAAGTAAAGCCCATCAAGATAGCGTCGTGTGTGGCTGGCACATCACAGCTGGCTCTACCCTCATCGCACTAAAATCCAAATTGATTGAAACCAGAAAACCTCACCCATACTGGAATACTGGATCCCTCCGAATGCTAATTACTTCATCCGTTCCGAATTGAATTGCAGACTTTGACCGTTATAAGGGTTAAGGAATGACCATAAATGATGTTTGTTTTTTACACTTTTGTTAATCTTTCTTAAAGTAGATACCTTTTAAGTTAATGAGGAAAAACTAATTGTAAGGATAAATTTGTCACTTTATTCTTATTTACATACCTAAAATAGAAAGTGGAAAACCATTTTGGGAGATTAGGAAAATCAAAATAGGAAATTTTGCAAATCAAATTGGGACGGAGAGAGTGATACGGAGTATTAAAAAATACCCGTATGGCCGTAGGCCCGTATCTCCAAATTCTAAGGTATGAGCTCAATTTCCATCGCTTTCTAAACTTGGAGAAAGGAAAGTAACTCTCAAATTTAATTGGGAAAACTGTCAAATAGGTCCTCGAACTTTCATAAAAAAGTCAATTAAGTCCTTCTATAGGAGACTCTGTCCGGTCATCGCGATTTGGGGCAGTTTCCGGTAGAATTTTTTTATGAAATTTTTTGAGCATCCTATTTATCAAGTTTAGTTTACTCATACCAAATTTCAGCTAAAAATTTAAACGGGAGTGCATTCAAATTAATTCGAGAACGCAAAAATGCGCAGTTATGTTCAAAAATTAATTTGAATGTGTTCCCGATTGAATTTTTAGCTGAAATTTGGTATGAGTAAACTAGACTTGGTGAATAAGATCTCAAAAAATTTCATCAAAAAATTCCACCGGGAACAGCCCCAAATCGCGACGGTCGGACAAAACCTCCTATAGAAGGACTTAATTGACCTTTTTATGAAAGTTGGAGGACCTATTTGACAGTTTTCCCAATTTAATTTGAAGTACATGCTACTCCATACGAGTATATTTTAAGGTCTTACGTAATATTTAATCTATTAATCGTATATGATTAAATTCAATCTCGTTTCTAGCTTGGACCATTCACTACATCATTTCGTGCATGCATTGTAGTAGTCTATTTTAATCATACTCCGTAATATTCTTTGTTATGTTATTCATAACTACATCAAAACAATGCAAAACAGTGTCAAACAGTGCTAAAGAGTATCACAACAGTGTACTATACAGTAAAATCAAATTTATTTCTTTAATTTGTGTTAAATCAAAGTACGAAATTTATTTAGCACCGGAGTATCATTTTATAGTTATAAAAACTCAAGGACGAACGACGTATTTAATATTCTGCACGAGAAAAGAATGAGTAATCAGATGGAATCATGCAAGCTAGCTAGGATCAAAAGAGGGCTCCGCTTTTTAAACCAAATCACAATGATAGCTAGCTGTAAGGTACAGTGACCAGCTGTAACGCACCACGTGCTCATCAACCATTGGCTCCTACGTTGGCTCAGCCTTATCCAGCACTGACTGATTGCGCCATCCGGCCCACTACATCGGGACCTGCTTTCAATCCAGTGAAGCCAAACCTGTCAACGGCTATAATATTCGAAATTCGGGCTATCCTCAGTCCTACGTGGCACTCAGCAGTCTGACATGGCACTCAGGCTTCCCCACGAAGCCAATCGCTCCCAGCTGGCCCATAAATACCCACTCCACACCGCAGATCTTGGAACAGAGGAGAACACTGTCGTAGAAATTTCCGGCATTACTAAAATGGCGCTCTGGGTTTCAACGGCGGCGGGTTTCCGCCTTCTCTCGGTGCTCAGCTTTGGGTTTTTAGTGTTGGCTTTCGCGAACCAATCTCCGGCGAGCTTTGACGACCTCTTTCAGCCTACCTCCCAGGCGGACCATTTACTCATTGACGGAGACGTCCTCCACATGAAGCTAGATAACCTCTCCGGTACTTCCATCTACTAATTCTGTTTGAAGTTTCAACCTTTCGTAATTTTTGTGTCGTAATAATGTTATTAATTTTTGAAATTCAGGTGCTGGGTTTCAATCGAAGAGTAAATATATGTTCGGGAAAGTCTCCGCGAAGATCAAGCTGGTGGAGGGCGACTCCGCCGGAACAGTGACCGCCTTCTATGTAAGAGCTCTGTTTCTTGAAATTTCCCGAAAGTAATTGAAAATCAAGATCGGATTTTGAATTGATCGATACTTGTAATGATGTGTTAATTTGCGGAAATGCAGATGTCATCAGACGGGGCGAAGCACCATGAATTCGATTTCGAGTTCTTGGGGAACACTTCTGGCGAGCCGTATCTGGTTCAGACGAATGTGTATGTCAACGGCGTCGGAAACAGGGAAGAAAGAGTGAACCTCTGGTTCGACCCCACGAAGGACTTCCATTCCTATTCACTGATGTGGACTACCCGCAAAGTAATGTGAGTGCTCCAATTCCCCAAAAATATTATTGAGAAACTTAAAACTGTGCAGAACAGCAGAAATGGGTGTAGGTATAGAATTATTAGCTGTGGGGCTAAAGTTCAGAATTTCATTTAGCAGATCTGACCCCATTGATTGTGACCTAAAAGCCCCAAAAAAGAAGGGTAGGTCTCATCTTTTTTCAAATGAGGATCCTCTATATACGTACTTGTCAACAAATTCCTCAATTAGGAGTAAAATGGGACTAATTTTTTTATTCTCAAAATGATACTCCATACTTGTTTCTATGAAAGTATGAACTTTCTCTCTTTTTATGCGTCTTTAGTGCACCCTGTCTCTGTTTTTACTCCCAAGAATAGCTTTGTCTCTGTTTTTTCTGTCATTAGCAATATACTCGTACTAGTATATATTTCATCCTTTTCAAGGAATTATTCGTAAAATTCTAAGTAAATTGGCAAATTTATTGTGATATCTAATCATAACTGATAATAAATTTGATAATAATAACTAGGTTCTTAGTGGATGGAACACCAATCCGAGTGCATTCAAACATGGAGGACAAGGGCATTCCATTCCCGGGAGACCAAGCCATGGGTGTGTATAGCTCACTCTGGAACGCTGATGATTGGGCCACACAAGGCGGGAAGGTGAAGACCGACTGGACCCACGCCCCCTTTGTAGCCTCCTACACTGACTTCGAAATCGATGCATGCGAAGTTCCAGCCGCCGTGGCTCCGGTGGATCACGGCAAGGAGTGCAGCAGTAGCGCTGAGAAGCGGTTTTGGTGGGACGAGCCGACGATGGCGGAGATGAACGTTCACCAGAGCCACCAGCTCCTCTGGGTTCGGGCTAACCATATGGTTTATAATTATTGTACGGACACGGCCAGGTTCCCGGTGGCTCCGGTGGAATGTGAGCACCATCGCCACTACTACCACCGCAACTAATTTTACTATGACGGTAAAATAAAGGCCGCGGTTCTGTCGAACATGTTCTCCATGTTACATATTTTTGCTTATTGATCTTGTAGGCTAATTGATGTCACACTTTGTATGTAAACCACTACGAACTTTATTATCATATCAATGCAGTTCATTTCTCTTTGATAAACTTTTGCAACTTCAGTTGGCTGAGTGGAAATTAACGAACACAACTTGACCAGGACTAATAATAACTTCTCAATAACAAGTATTAGTAGACTTGCAAAGATTACCTTCGATCTAGAATCTAACATTTCATAGGTTTTGATTTATTTAATTTTTTGTTAATTCTATTGCTAATATTTGATGAAATTTTCTTCACAAAGTTTATTAACTTATTAAAACTAAATATGAATTAAATTGTTTAAAATGAAAATAATAATAAAATTTATGAAAATTTAGGTCCTAAATTGATATTTTTCAATCATTCGGATCCTAGATTGATAGTTTTCCATAGGGGTGGATATTTCGATTTTCAGTTCGGTTTTCTTCGATTTCGGTTTAATCGGTTTGATAGAAAATGTACCAAATACAAACCGATTAAGTTTCGGTTTAAACGGTTTGATAGAAAATGTACCAAATACAAACCGATTAAGTTTCGGTTTGGTATGGTTCGGTTTGGAGTTCGGTTTACAAAAGTATTAAGGTTTGGAATGAAAAAAATTAACACAAAATAATGAACCAAGAAGCGATATTAATGAACCAAATATAATGTTAGATATAAATTTACAAACAGTAACAAAACACATATGAACCAAAAATATACTCCGGGAATGAATCAAATTAGCATGACACATTTGTAAGCAACAACAACGGGAACGAATCAAATTATATATAAAACCAAAACAAAAACAAAACTGGTGCTTGTAAGTAATGAACATAATGTATAGTAGTAGTAGATAATAAATTATAGTTAAATACTGTGTACTTAAACCACTATAATTGGTATAGTTGTGAATGTAACTCTTGTAGTAAACTCCAGTCCTGAGCACTAAAATTAAAGAATTAAAGCTTCAAAAAGATTAAAATCAATCAAATTAATGAGAGATTGGTGTAAGTTGGTTTTGATTTGTAATTTTAAAAAAATAAGAAATTATTTCATTTTTAGATTAGTTCGGTTTTATTCGGTTTTATTCGGTTTTATGATTTCGGTTCGATTTGGTTCGGTTTAATACGGGTTGGGAGGAATACTACCAAACTCAAACCAAATTACAAATGGTTCGGTTTCGGTTCGGTTTAATTCGGTTTGGTACTGTTCGGTTCGGTCAAACCGAACCGTTATGCCCGCCCCTAGTTTTCCATCATTCTGGTCATATACCGATACATTTCATCTTTCAGGTCCCGAAATGATAGTTCGTCTATCTTTCAGGTCCCGAAATGATAGTTTTCAATCATTCGGATCCTAGATTGATAGTTTTCCATCATTCAGGTCCTATACCGATACATTACATCTTTCAGGCCCCGAAATGATAGTTCGTCTATTTTTTAGGTCCCAGATTGATAAAATTCTAGTGATAAATTATATAATAATAAAAAAATAAGATTGTAGTTATATTCTTATTGTGTTGACTAAAATTATTGTATACGATTATTTTAGCCGTTTTTCATATATTTTTAATTTATTTTATTCATAAATCAGCAGAATCAATTAATCCTGTCAATACAGTCGATTTGAGTTTTGCGAAACGAACTCTAATTTGACCATCAAATGTCATTTTCTAACTTTTTTTGTCCATATTTTATAACTCTTGATGTTAGTCCTTGTAAGCAATATTTTTAATATCAATACATTTCATTTTAAATTCTTGAGTATATAAATATAAGTATGTATCTTAATTAAATCAAATTTGACTTAGAGCTCATTTGGTAAAACTGTTACTCGTTTGATTTACGAAAATTCATGAAATCCTCGATGAAGTGGTTGAATTATATGAATTGCAGAATTATAAAAATATATTTGAAATCTATTTAGTTAATAAAATAAAATAAAAAATGTGAAAAATAGTTAAAAGGGAAAACTATCAAATAAGACCCCAACTATTAAAAAAATCAATTAAGCCCCTTGAAACCAAACTTTTCTCAATTAAACCCTTGAACCCATTAAAAACGGTCAAACCCTCTTTATAGCCTGGAATCAACTAGTACCCGATAAACTTCGTATAATTACTCTGACGTGGCAAATTTTAATGTGGTTGGCGGATGACGTGGCTTTACACTTTTAAAATCCTCAAAACTGAAGCCGAGGTCAAACCCTATTTGAAAGTTCTTGTACGCAGGTCGTTTCTCTTACAACCAGAGGTCTTCGCACATGTTGTCTCTTTTAGAAGTAGCGAACAAGGTCATCTTCTTCGACATCAAGTATAAGAAGAATCAAGCTATCCACTATGAGCCGAGTTTGTATTGCCTCTGTGGACTAAAATCACCCCTTTGCATTGTTGGAATAAATCTGATAATACTTTAATCTTCATATTAAAATTATCTGGAGAAATAACTGAGCGGAAGCGTATCTGACTCCATTGGAGGTGATATTTAGATATCCAGGAGACGGAGGCTAGGGTTTGCGTCTTCTAGTTGATACACACCCTCGGGTTTATCTCTCTAGCGATGGGATGCAGAAAGACGGAATGACGTGTTCAACTAGGGACCATACCCCTTATTTATAGAGAGTGCTTAACCCTAATCAGCCCATCATTGATTAGGTCAAGCCCATGGGTCTCTACACATTTGGGCCTTATACCTTATTAGATAACTTATTAGCCCACTTAAATTAATATCCATAGGACCACTAATTTTTTTGGGCCAAAATATAAGATAGCATATAACATACAATTAAACTCAATAAATAACATATTGTGAATATTACATGTAGTATAAGTCCAATAATCTAACAATCTCCTACTTGGACGACATACACATGTATACACACAATCCTTAGTATTGTATGTTTACTTTAGGAGCTCCAAAATTTTGCTATCAAACTGTAGTCATCTTTAATCAATCCGGTCCAATAATTATATCAACATAGGACCAAAGAAGTCTTTGCTATATTTGCATAACTAGACCCATCAATGGTCACGTATATTAATATAATAACGACATGGATCAAGTATAGGTGTGTAGCGTGGAAATAACATAAAGTGTGGTCTGGAATAGAATGTCTATTTCCAACTGGTCCACCTTGAGATCAATAATACAACTGTAGAAAATAACATTAAAACCTGAGTTAACCAAATATACAAACATTACAAACTCCCACTAAAACTTATCATCCTCAACTGATTTGACACCCATTTGAGCAACATGCTCATGAAACACTTTGGGTGGTAATCCTTTAGTGAGCGGATCCGCAATCATGGAGTTTGTGCTAATGTGTTCTATAGACAACTTTCCTTCTTGTACTCATTCTTTAACAGCTTTAAATTTGACCCCAATGTGTTTTGTCTTGGTCAAACTACTGTTGTTCTTAGCATAAAGGGCTGTTAACATATTGTCACACAATAGCTTAAGTGGTCTTTCAATGTTGTCCACTATGCGTAGTCCACTAACAAAATCTCGCAGCCATAATGCCTGATTGGATGCCTCATAACATGCTATAAACTCTGCTTCCATGGTGGAAGTAGCTGTAAGAGTCTGCTTGATACTCCTCCAGGAGATAGCTCCTCCAGCTAGAATATAGATGTAGGCTGAAGTGGATCTCAAGCTATCTTGACATCCAGCAAAATCAGAGTCGGTATACCCAATGATCTCAAGCTGATCCGATCTCCGATAAGTGAGCATATATTCCTTTGTTCTTCTGTAAATACCGCATGACCCTTTTGGCTGCTTTCCAATGGTCCATTCCCGGATTGCTCAAATATCTGCCTAACATCCCAACAATATATGCCAAATCAGGTCTTGTACAAACCTGGGCATACATCAAACTTCCTACAGCTGAAGCATAAGGAACGTTCCTCATTTCTTTAGATTCAAAAGCATTCTTAGGGCACTGCATGAGACTAAACTTTTCTCCCTTAGAAACTGGGGTATCCCCTGGTTTGCAGTCTTGCATATCAAACCTTTTGAGAACCTTATCGATATAGCTCTTTTGTGAGAGTCCAAGAACGCCTTAGGAGCGATCTCGGTGAATTTGAATTCCTGATACAAAAGAAGTCTCACCAAGATCTTTCATTTCAAAATTCTTTGAAAGAAAACTCTTAGTTTCATGCAATAAGCCTATATCGTTACTAGCAAGCAGTATGTCATTAACACACAAAACCAGGAAAATATGCTTACTCCCACCGAACTTGTGGTATATACAATCATCACTGACGTTTGGTTGAAAACCAAAAGATATAATGACTTTATGAAACTTTTGATACCCCTGACGAGAAGCCTGTTTGAGCCCATAGATGGATTTCTTTAATTTGCAAACCATTTTCTTTGAATCTACCAAAACAAAGTTTTCTTGTTGCTCCATATAGATTGATTCCTCAATGTCACCATTGAGAAATGCAGTTTTTACATCTATCTGATGAAGCTCAAGATCAAAATGTGCTACTAATGCCATTATTGTTCTAAAAGAGTCTTTGGAGGATACCGGAGAGAGTCTCTTTATAGTCAATTCCTTTCTTTTGAGTGTAGCCTTTAGCAACAAGACGAGCTTTAAACCTTGTAACATTGCCCTTTGAATCCCTCTTGATTTTAAATATCCACTTACAACCAATGGGTTTAATACCTTCGGGCAATGAGACTAACTCTCAAACATCATTTTCACTCATAGACTTCATCTCATCTTTCATGGCATTAATCCATTCTTGAGAGTTAGAACTTTCCATGGCTTGACGAAAGTTGATTGGACCATCTTCCGCAAAACCAACGTCTGATTCTTGTTCTTGGAGGAAGACAATTATTTCTTCCACCAATTCCCAATTTTCCTCATGTTCTTGGAGAAATACAATATAATCATTCGGAATTGTGCTTCTCCTCTCTTGAGTGGATCTCCTTAATGGCACCTCAGGTTCTTGAGGTTCTTGAGTTTGATCCTCATTAATAAATTCAGGTACTTGATTGGGGATGTTTTCGAGATTGTCATGAACTGGAGTTGTTTCTTGAACATCATTAGGAATAAAAATATCTTGATCATGTTCAATGACAACTGAAGGAAGAGTAACATGCTTTTCCTCAAAGACAAAATCTCTAACCTTATCTCCTCACACCCCAAACTCAATATCCTCAAAGAAC